ATCATCGAGACTACCGACGAGGAGCTTCGAACAGAGCTCAGCACTGCATTCGACACTGTCCTGGTGTCTGTAGACGAGTACGATGGCCTGAGTGTCGCCATGAATGTGATGATCACTCTTGTCAAGCATGACGATCACCGCCGTCGCGCTGCTGCGGCACTCCATCTTACAAAGTTCTTCGCGGAAGCTGACCTCGACTTCTCGAGGTACTACCAGGACTTGATCCGTTCCTTGCTGATTTCGTTCGATGACTCAGACAAGGATGTCGTCAAGTCAGCATGGACTGCCCTCACTGGTCTCATGTCTCACATGCGCAAGGAAGAGATGGAGAGCTTGGCTATTCCCACCCGCCAGATTCTGCGACAGGTGGGTGTGGCTGGCGCGGATCTGCCCGGCTTCAGTCTGCCTAAGGGCATCATGGCTATCTTGCCGATCTTCTTGCAAGGTCTTCTCAACGGTACTACTGATCAGCGTACCCAGTCCGCGCTTGCAATGTCTGATATCATTGACCGGACTCGTGCCGAGTCATTGAAGCCTTTCGTGACTCAGATCACCGGTCCGCTCATTCGTGTTGTGTCAGAACGTTCAGTCGACATCAAGTGTAAGTCGTGCAAGGCCTTTGTGTGGTATCAATTTACTAATTCTATTTTCTAGGCGCCATCTTCTTTACTCTTAACAAGCTGTTGGAGAAGATTCCGTTGGCTGTCAAGCCGTTCTTGCCTCAGCTCCAGCGCACATTCGCACGTGGTCTAGCCGACACAACAAGCGAGACTCTGCGCAACCGGGCTGCCAAGGGTCTTGGTATCTTGATTACGCTAACCCCCAGGGTTGATCCTCTTATTGCTGGTAAGTCTCGGAAGGTTTTAAATATGGAATGTCGCTCATCGCTAACTTAATCTCCAGAACTCATTGCTGGATCCAAGACCAGCGACATCGGCGTGAAGAACGCCATGATGAAGGCTCTCCAGGAGGTCGTTGGCAAGGCTGGTGCTAATATGAGCGAAGCATCCCGGCAAGCTATTCTTGGTCTGATTGATGATGACGCTAGCGACCAGACCGGTAAGATCAATATTGACGATTCCTGTGTTTTTGCGGCTTTCTAACATGCTTTCAGATTCCGTTTCCATTACGAACGCTCGTCTGCTCGGTGCTCTCGTGAAGGTTCTGCCTGCCGCAAGCTCGGTTCCTCTCATCAAGTATGCATGCTCGTTCTTGTGGTTTGATGTTGATGGATGCTAATGCATTTTCTTGTAGGAACCGTATCCTTTCCGGCTCCCTTTCTCATGCAGCGGTCCTCGGACTCAATGCACTTTTGGCTGAATGCCCCGAGGTCCTGACGGAACACTTCTCTTTGGAACTTCCCACCGTCATATGTCAAGGTCTTGTAAACCAGGATGTAAGTGAAATGCTAAAACACTCATTATTGTTCGAAGCTAAGGGGGAAAAACAGCCTTTCGTCTCCGACAACAGTGCTCTTGCTGCAGGCAAATACCTCTTGTCTAACAATGGTGATCATGCTTTCGAGTCAAGCAAGACTATCTTCGAGGCCTTGGCATCTGCTATCCAGGTCGGCAAGCCGGTCGACACCCGGCGGTTGAGCTTGGTAGTCATCCGGACTGCTAGCCGTCTTCACCCCGAGCTAGCCCGTCCTCATCTGGCTCTACTCGCACCACCCATCTTCGCTAGTGTCCGTGATCTGGTGATTCCCGTTAAGCTAGCCGCTGAAGCAGCATTCTTGTCCATATTCTCCGTGGTCGAGTCTGACAGCGAGGTGTTTGACAAGTACATGGCCGGTCCGGGTGCATCTCTCCCACCGGGCCCCAAACGCAGCATGTCTGACTACTTCAAGCGCATTGCTGTTCGTTTAGCTAACCAGGCACGTGAGCGTCGGGAGGCTGAAGGTGGTGAGGGTGGTTTGGGACTGTCAAATGATGAGTTAGATGATGAGAAGGAATTGTGGAGCATTGGCAAGGTTGATCTTGGAGAGGCCTTTGGCGATGAGTGATGTTCTGTTTGCGCATCCAAGGAGCATCTAGATGTTCATAGATATACCCTTGGGTTTTGTTTGTTCTATTCGTACAAAAGTTATGCGCATGTATGTTTTTGTAGATTTTAAATTGCGTCGTTCTATGTCAATGGGCTGCCATGTACTGAACTTATACTGCAGATCACTGCTTCCTTAATTGGAATCGCGGATCATGTGACACTGCTTATCGTTTATTGTCACGTGATTTTGTTCAATCATTGGCACACCTACAACCAAAGCCATGGCAAACAGCGAAAAAGAACGGAAAAAGCAAAAAATTGAGTTACAACCATATGTTCTTACAGCATCTTGATTCCAACTTGACGTAGCGCAAGTACCGTTGGCTTCCCCGGACTACACGATCTTCAAATTCCATCATCCCGATTTGGACTAGTGCTAGGGCATGAGCCCTCGAGCACTCCGCCAGTTATGGAAGGAGCACTCGCTTAGCCCTCGGCTGACCTAATCTGGCCCGCAGTGCCCTCTCAAACTCTCACCGTCGGGATTTCTCAGTGCCACGAACATCATCCGCCAACGACCGTCGATACGCCGACATCAAGATGTGAGTTCTATCTTCAAGCTGTTCTTGAAGCTCTCAAATGCACATCCGTGAGCTGTGGAAATTCGTGTCCAACACCCAACTCGTGGGCCCGATATTTTCGCTACAGCGGAGGAACAACTTCGTGATGTGTGTGCTATGATGCTGACCAGGTCTTTCACCACCACAGGGTCAACCTTACCACCCAGAAGCGCCTCGCCGCCTCCGTGGTCGGCTGCGGCAAGCGCAAGATTTGGCTCGACCCCAATGAGATGAACGAGATCTCCAACGCCAACTCTCGCCAGACCATCCGCAAGCTCGTCAGCGATGGCCTCATCATCCGCAAGCCCGTCACCATGCACTCCCGTGCCAGCGCCCGCGAGCTCAACGAGGCCCGCCGAAACGGCCGTCACCGCGGTCTGGGTAAGCGCAAGGGTACCAAGGATGCCCGTATGCCCAGGTATGCACACCACCGTCTTTTGTCTCCCTCCGGCCTGTCTCGTACTCGCCTAACGGAGCTCAAACCGAGACACAGTGGCTGATTTCGTTTTCCTCTGTTTAGTCAAGTTCTTTGGATGCGCCGCATGCGTGTTCTCCGCCGTCTGCTCGTCCGCTACCGTGCCGCTGGCAAGATCGACAAGCACCTCTACCACGAGCTTTACCACCTGAGCAAGGGTAACACCTTCAAGCACAAGCGTGCCCTCGTTGAGCACGTAAGTTACAACCCGGATCAACCCCACGGATGACGATCGAATTTGAAAACATGAACCCTGCAAAAAGCACGCAAAACAGAACACACCCAGGCTGACTCGTTCTCTTTTTTTCACCGCTACAGATCCAGAAGGCTAAGGCTGAGCGTGCACGCGACCGTGTCCTTAAGGAGGAGATGGATGCTAAGCGTGCCAAGAACAAGGCTCTCCGTGAGCGCCGGTTGGAGCGCAAGGAGGCCAAGCGCGATGCTCTGATCAGCGAGGAGTAAATCTGATACAAAAATTCAATTACCCTTCCGTTGTTTGACGATTTCCTTGCAATTCGGCGGTCCGGAGGTTGGAAACGGTTAACCTCTGGGTTGGATTCGGGATTCTAGGCTGTTCCCAATATCGAACTCAGATCGGCCTTCGGCGTCTTCCTATTAGTCTAGATTCTGTTACGACTTTCTCTCCTTCCTTCTGTTTTCTCTGATAGCATGGGGTTCGTGGCCTTCTTGGATCTTTTCGGAAAATATGGGGTATGGGAAATAGGAAGACGCGATGATGATGTGATACTCAAAGCTATTCTTGTTAAATGTAACGAGAAAGCAAAAGGAAATCTTTTTTTACCTGACCAAAAAAAAAACAAAACAAACACCGCACTCTCGTTCCCAGTCCATGTCTACTGCGACTTTTGTGGTATAACCCTGATATGCAGAGACGCAGGTCGTGTCTGTTCCTTCTTTAAACTTGTGGATACCATTCCTTCGATGGTCTTGCATGTATATTCCCTCTGTTTTAGGTTTTTGCTGCCCATGGTGATGACTGTCTTGTCGCTGGTCGTCCGGTAGGTACTGCCTGGATGTCCATCGCATGCATTGGGGGGACTTTATCTCGATGATACCTATGATCTTGTCCCCTTGGTAACTACAGCCTCGTGGATCAAAAACCTCCTGCGTAATTTATGGGTCTTGTGGTGACGCCACTGTTATTCTGGGGATTTGGATCTCAATGTCCAATCCACTCCACTCACTTCTAGACAGCCCACTGAACTCACAAGAACAATGTGGATATGAGATCGAAATAGAAGATTTGTTTTTCACAGCATGTTTTGGATTACCTACCAGACGACTTATGCCTAGATCTGATAAAGTACGTCAAAATGGGATATCTACCGGATATATATATGGATGTGTATCTGCAGAACACAAATCCACTTCCCTGTGCGAATATCCATGATCAACAGCCGAACACCCGCGCAGAACCAAAGTGTGCGATTGTTTATCAAATGGACAGTAATGTCAGCGTTCATGTTCGTTCGAAACACATCATTGACCCAAATAAACAACAAGTTTGCCTCGAGCGTGATGCCATCCAAACCCTGGAAATCTCCAATGCGCCCCATTTGAAACTAGCACCAACTAAAGAAGGAAATGAAATGGCCGAAACGTGGCAATCTGTCTTGAAAATAGAAGCAAAATGTGAGTCCTTTTACCCTCCTTCTAAATCGTACACATCAACATTACCCCAGTGAACAACTTGGACCTTCAACACTGAACTCAAAAAAGGGTATAGATACACCCAAGGGGAATCCCAGTAAGTAAGCCAAAAAAATCAAAAGAAAAAAAAAGATATCGCATTCATGAGAACTTGCTTCGTAAATCAAAATAAAGTTAAAAAAAGCTAGTGGATCCATGTAAACGTAAAATATGTGCAGGAAGCCGAAAAAAAAATGAGACATCGCCATCTAAAACTTGACATCCCATGTACTCGGGATTGGAGGGACAGAAGACCGATGGTGAGCATTCGGTGGAGGTTCAAGATCAAGATCGAAGGGGTCACTGCGCATGCTATCACGCATCACAGGAGTGTCCAAGTACTCATGTGGTACGGCGAGGGTATCCACGCCTTCGCGCTCGCAGTCCCAGTTCCCCCGCCCACCGTTTCCAACACCCCAGGAAGAAGTGGAGTAGATTGAGATCGAGTGAGAAGGGGCGGAGACCTCGATGACTGCGGACGGCGGATCCGCGAAGGGGTCCTGCGGTGTTGACTCGCCGCGCAGGTACATGCTGTCGAGGGAGAGGTCTGGATTTGAGGGCTGCTGTTGCAGCGGGATGACTGGGGGGATAGGGGCTCTTGGGCCGATGTTGGCTGGTATCGAGGGGTAGGAGTCGTAGCGGTAGTGGTGACAGATTGATGAGCTCGTTGAGTTACATCGTAGTAGTTCCTGTCTGATGCCTAGGCGCTCTGTTGCTATCCTTCGTCGTCGGCGACGCATGTAGACCGCACAGGCTAGCAGGGCGAAGATTGGGATTGCTGATCCCCCGATGATGCTTCCAACCATCGTTCCAGTTTTAGAGGTGGGGCTCGAATTGGCAGCTTGAGCTGTTTCCGAAGAGCCTGCACTCGCAACAGTTCCGATGGATGGTGAAATTGAAGAGGTGTATGTTCGTGCGGTGCTCGAGCTGACCGGGGTGCTCGTGGAGCTGATGGAACTGACGGAACTGGTGGTTGTCTCCGGCAAGACAGGCAGGGAGGATGAAATAGACATACGCGAGCTAGTTGATCGAACTGGTATGGTCCACATGCTGCTAGGATGGCTGGAAGATTCTGAAGTTGCCGAAATAGGAAAGTCCCCCGTTGAGCTTGATAGAACCGAGGTTGTTGGAGTTAGAGTCGAAGTTGTGGACTCCGACATAAGTGTTGTTGTTGTAGAGCTGGAATTCGATATTATGTTGTCCTGCTTTTTTGTCGACAGCTTAGTCGTTGTCAGAGTCACGGTTACCGCGGTTGGGTTCTGCGTTGACGATGAGAAGTCAGGCACGGTAGTAGTTGCGGTGCTGGAATCAGGTCCGGGGCCAGATATCGTGTAGACCCATGTAGGATAAATGGTTTTTGTTTGATTTGACGAAAGTGTCACCGGATTGGGCGGATTAGAGGATAAATGAGTGGACCACGTCCGGATGAAGTTGTTGAGCGGGATGGATGGAGTATAAATGGATGGTGGAAAAGGCACTCAACATCTCGCCGCGAGCCCGCGGGGGGGGGCACTGGTCGTTGAAAGAAAGATCAGATGATATTTAGCGAGTCCGTATTCGGTGGATGGAACATGAAGGCGACGGGAAAGGATGGATCCCTTTGAATGAGAGTTGGACAAAGCACAAAGCGACAAAGCAACTGACAAAGCAGTGGACCTATCAAATTGACACCCGAGCTTCATACAGACCCCCTCTGTTTCTTTCTTTGTTCCCTGAAGCCCTGAGACAGCCACGACTATAGCCCCGTTAGTGCGGGATTCCATACAGTTCACGATTCACCTTCGGAGGGGCCCCCAAAGTGTATCATGTCAGATGCAAAGAGGTTGGATGATTATGTACAGGGATTTCCATTTTTTTTATTCCCCATAGAGTTTGCCAGGGGGTTTCGTCTTTCATTTGTCTGGAACCCGGCGCTTCTTCTGATGGCTGGGTGGAAGTAAACTCCTGTGACAGATGAACGGCGCTTGGCCCTCGGCCCAATGAGACCCCCAGGCGGTCCACGAGTGGACGATCATCTCCAATGAATATGGGAATCTCCATACTGTAACACTGGCTAATTTTTCTGCATGCGCACAGTCTCATCATCATTGTTCCTTAGGTGGGATTTGAGCGGAGGAGTGTCTCCTATCTCACGGACGAAACAGGGCAGTTTCGGGTTTGACGAAAGATTCCATGGAATTTGGACTGGTCCAACCTGTAGGCGACTCCGAAGGTTTCAGATTTTGCCTCTTTCAGGTCTTGGAGTCTTGCAGGTCTTGCAGGTCTTGCAGGTCTTGCAGGTGGGAGTACAACATGCTGTATCCTCGGCACAGAGGAATCGTAGCAACATCTCTTCTTGGTCGAGTCATATGACCATGTCCGTAAAACTATATAAGGGAAGACATCCACATTTATATCACTTCGATGGATGATCTAGGTAAACCCCAAAAAAATCAACTGAAGAGATTTCCATACTAAAATCAAGTACGGACGGAGTAGAAAGTGAGATAGCACCTCTACACCATAAGACCGTTCCCCATTCAACCTCATTCCTTAGACCCTAACGAATACTCTGAATACGCCTATAACATACGACTGTGGTAGGTCATAGGTGATCATAAGACATTTGTAGATGATCGAATCCATATATCAGATTGTCACTAGCTGAAGGGACAAATGTTCCCGCCAAATTCCCCACCTGCAAAAGTCCCCCGGATCCCTTTCATCTTCTTCCCTCTCTCTCTTCATAATAAGTTGTGTCTTTTGTTTTTTTTTTCATTTCAACTTCTGTTTCTTTTTTTCCTGTTTGTATCTTATTCTCCCTTTTCTGCCCTTCTGCCTTTCCGCCTTCTCGTTCCCTTGTTCCCATGTTCCCATGTGACCTTGAGGGGAGCTAGAACTTTGCGATAATCGTGCATTTGCATTTGATCTGTGATTGGAAATGTTTGGCTGGGGTTCTGGGCTGGGTAAATAATCTCCCTTCTGCTACCCCTCGATGCTATCCCCCTCCTCTCCCCCGCCACACCTCCCGGTGGCCAGTTGAAATGTCAACAAGTTCACCGGGGTAGCCACCTTGCGTTGGAGCGACTGTGGCTTGAAGCTCTATGCGATCTGAGATCTGTCACTCAGACTTGGACGAAGGATGAGACACATTGACAGTCTCAAAGCTAACACAACTTCGCGGTAGCCTTGCCCTCTGCGTCTTCAGAGCCGGAGAAGGAACGCAGCCCCCCCGCTGACCCGACACCTCTTGATTTTCCCGTCTACAACCTATCTGATGTCCTCGAAAATGAGTCGGAGTCAAGACTCAAGGAGATGGCCGACCTTCTGGCCGACATCAAACGACCACAGGACATCTGCGAGGAGCGCTTCAAGCCGTTGAACCTGAAACTGGAGACAGGCGTCGAAGTCGCCCACATGATCCCCGAAGACCACTTGCATCCCATCGCCCCGTTACCATGGGAAGATACCACCGAACCGACCGAAGACAACCCCCGACCGTTGATGGACAATGGAGTCCCGTACCCCTCAAAAGAACGATATGAAGTTCTGGAAAAAGAGCTGGCGTTGGAGAATGACGATGCGTTCCGCGAGGTGGCTCGATTGCCGCAACGCGAGGGCCGGAGCCGGGTTCGTATAACACAGTCGAGAAAGTTCTGGGCGGGATTGGAGCGCATGGCTCAATACTGGGATACTAGCCTAGACCACTATTTCGAGCGTCCGGCAACTCCCGATCCGACACCCTCATCCGAGATGGAACAGGCAGCAGATGGCACAATGCCGGTGGATGCTGAGCAGTCCAAGAACAGACCCTCTCCGACAGGCGGTGAGATGGATCTGGATGAAGTACAGGCAGACGCGCCATCGAGCAGTAGCACTGTTGGCGAGAAGCAGCGGCCCTCTGTATCTGTATACACGGGCCGTCGAATTGGCAACGGCGCCGAGATGCCTGATGAATTGCGTGATGAGACAATCCGAGCCTTTGTGGAGATGGCCGCATGGCCGTTCGGATGTCAGGTCACGGTTCCCACGCTCCAACCACGATTGACAACCAAGAACCTCCTGTTCCCCGTCCGGCAAACGTTCCAGTCCTCGCGGTCCCCGCGAGATCGCCAGATTGCGCGGAGCGGCATGCTCGAAGGCCCCGTTCTCATCTCACAGTGTCGACCCGAGACGTCTTTCCGCACTGCGGACAAGACCCCCGGGACCGGGATAGGCGATGTCAGTGATCTATTTCGCGAAGTGGGCGGGATGCTTCTCGCGGCACAAGAGCGTGCTCGCGAAGGCGCAGTTGAGAAGCGACCCGGGGAAGGCAAATGGTGGACCATGCAGCCTCGCTTTGGAGGCGCCCCCAACGATGGGATCCTGGATGATCTCGTTAACCACGGACACGGGATGTCCCTGCCGGACTCAATGATGGAAGAAACTACGCCATCTGCCCAAGGGGCGGAGAGCGCTTCCAAGCGTCACAAATTCGAGCATCCTTTTGTCACGTCTCTTTCCCGGAGACCGAGTGCTATGCGCAGACTTACTACCAGTGAAAAGTGGAAGATTCTGCAGCCTGGGCCCAGTCTTTGGGATAAGCGGATGAGCTATTTGCAGATAGGCAAGGTCCAGGAGAGTCCCTTTGACGATGTATGCACACCCTGCCGTGTTGATTGAAACTGAGTGTGCACGTTCCGGCTAGGCAGAGAGAGTTAACCCCCCTTTTTTTTCTTCTTCTAGATTTACATGATCTCGTCTATCAACCATCACGTCTCGATCCTCCACCTACGCGTCCACAGGCGGTATTTGGACATCCTCACTAACGGCGATAGCACCTTCCCAGCAACCGAAGGCGAGCCGTGGCATGTACTGAGGCTGGAGAGGACCCGATGGTTCGACTTGTTCGACACCAACGACCGCATAGCAGCGCTGAAGGGTGTGTGGCAACTGTTCCACCACCAGCTGAGACAGACACGCCACGAAGGCGATGTTCCCGTCCCGACAGAATTACCTATAGAGTGTCCATTATAGAGCATGCATGGCAGTGTCCGTGAGGACATACTTTTGACTCTCGATCTCCCAGTGGCCTTACTGAAGCGATGCATCTTATACATCCGGCGTAGCAATCTTCAATTTCTTTTCCCTTGTTCTCCACCCCGTTATTTTACCCATACCCATCTTCAATGACAGCAGATTACATTGACTATTTCCGATCTTGAATATATATTGGCCGGGCCATCTATACTGGATACTAGATGCTTTTTCCTTTCCGCTGAAAGGTGGTAATACGGGCGGTTTGGGGCGTTGAGTTGTGCTTTGATATGCCACGCAATGGTTCCAGGGATTTGATTCTATCTCTTATATTATTATAATATTTTGGCTTGCGGACAACTTGGTTTGATATCTCGCGTACGGCGAGGCGAGACCTTGACTTGGGTGACTCGGGATTTAGTCCAACTGTGGCGGACCATCTATACATGATCTCGAAGTGTCTATTTCAGGGCCTTCTCACAAATCTCTCGTTTTCATTCCATTTCCAGCTACACCGTACAATCCACCGCCTGAAAATTCAACTTGTCCAAACTCTCAACGGTACTTTTGTCAAAGTGAGACCACCTTCATGAAACCACCAACCTTCAAACCCTCATCACCCATGAAACAACCAACCCAACGCGTCGGACATGTTCGGCATCAACCCCCCATGACCTCACACGATTCCGATCATTGAATCTGGCCACCAAAAACGAAACAAAACAAACCCCGACTCAAATGTGATATATCAACATGATAGTCCCTACAAATCCTGCTTCAGTCTGTATGGCGTATGTGGAGGAAAGTGGAGCCGAACTAAGTTGGTGTTGATTGAGGGGCACTGAACCCGTTTTGTCAATTCCTGGTCCCTTAGGTTGTATACATACTCCGTACAGGGCAGCAATATGGATGTAGTACACCAAAAACGATCGAATTTACCTCACGGATGAATATCTTCTATATGTGAACTCTAACAGGTATTTCTTCATCGTCAGGAACGATAAAAGGAGATGTGTCGGGGACATTTTTTTACTTGGCTGTTTGAGCGGACCCATGATAGGCTACACACAAATACATATACCAGGCAACACGGACTAACTTGTAGACTGTGTATTCCGTAGTACAGAGTAGAGAGTACTGGTTATACAGAGTACCGAGGGACTTTTAATGTACAACATAGACACACGTTTCCTACGGGGAAGAGTCCGGGTTGGACAGATCTGACTTTCCCCTCCCGTAACTTTCCAGGTTACGGGGCTCTCGCTTATTGCGATCGGATCGAGATAAGGCCATGTAGGTTGATTACGGAGTACCATATGTGTACTCCGTTCTTCGTGTATGGCTATGAGCTGACCATTGAAATTTAGATGCGGCGAGAGTCGCGTGTGGCAAGGTAGCTTCTTTTAGCGTGTGTTTCGACGTACTTTGTCGGGTCTGACAGGTTTGGTGGGGTGAGATAGGAGCTGGTTGGATACCTTGAAAGAGATTCATCTGTTGATGGGGTTGATTTGACGCCGGGGGATGTTGTGCTTTCTGAGTAGAATAATATGCTTCAACTGATTTCAAGTTTGGGTTATGGTGATGATATACGTGCATCTAGGGTAGGCGTGCGGAGATATATCCGTACAGCATTCAATTCTTTTGTACACGGAGTAGACTGGCTATTCAATGTAAACCGTGAAAAGACAAAAAGTCCGAGCCACAGCACTAAGACTAAATTACTCCGTACACTCTCCGTGTTTCAACTTGTATATATCCGATCATCCAATAACACCACAGAGTGACACCCCATACCTTTTTAGCCTCGCCCAATCAAACCCGAAGACCCCTTAAACCCTGGCATCGACAACCGCCAGCTGCAAATCAGATCACATCACACTTTTAAAACCCCCTCGAATGTCAAGTGACCAGATGAATAGATCTCCAAACCCCAGTCAAATTGTAAAAATCAGAGATGAATCAAGCCCCGGCGCAGAGGGCCGCTCCACGGGGAAGTGTGTACAGAGTAACCTACCACAAAGGCCATGTGGAGGCTGTAAAGAGTGGAGATTGAAGAGGGTCCTCGGAGACCAAGTGAACGGATCGGGCTAGGGGTGCATCAGAGGATGATGTACTTTTTAATAGGAGGCTGCCGCTTGACTGAGTTGAGACTTGAAAAGTTTAGAATTTTGATGCGAATCCGGAGCACAGGAAGAGAGAGTTCTGGAGTCAGTTGTACGGTAGTTTACGGAATCAGAAAGAGATCAGAACATACTAGTAACTCAAGAACCTGGTCGTTTGATCTCACATATTGAAAGGTGATGCCAGTTGCCCCTTTGGGGGTGGGTGGGGGGGGGAGGATGTACGTAGATGTGGATACAGGTAAGTATTCCTGGAGACTGACAACCTCAACTTCAACCCCAGGCTACTGCCTAATAGAGCAATACCTACATACATACTCCATGCTTGTACAGAACTAAAATAATTGGGGCATGCTAGGCCATGCTGGGCCATGGGTTGTGTTTGAATGGTGTGCATTTAGTGGGTGTGATTTCCAAACCGTCGGATTTAACTACAGCCGGTAGTGCGGTTGTGTTTGAAATCTTCGTGCTTCACAGCAAGGCACATAGCCGCGCTAAGAGGCTATCGGCGGCCCAGCGGGTGGTTTTAATTTGGTGTGGTACATATTATGGAGTAATTCAAGTAGATATAGTATTAGGGTGTGAGAATGTGAATAACCAACAACGTCTGACACTGCCCGGCCAGTTCAAAACTAACCCGATCTCTCCTCTCCTACCGAAAGGGAATTGATAGCAGCTCACGGGGCCAGGGGATCTCCGGTTGAAATATTGACGTTCTTCGATTTGGTTGGATAGTGCGTTAGAGCCTCTGCAGGATCATGGATCGGGACCAGGGTGTTCGTCTGGTTCTTCCGTTTCTTTGGGTTTTGGATTTCCCTTGCATCTAACGAACAGACCAGTGGTTTATGTGAGCTTGGTCTGGTGTTGTAGCCCTAGATGTTTGTACTGGATTGCTTCTCAAGGGATGATACAGCGTAAGGAGGAGAGGGGAGGGGTTTCTTATGCAACTGTGCTGGTCAAGCTCGGTTCTCAATGACCTTGCGGAGGGCGATAGATTTACGCAAGCTGGCGGGGCTGGTGTGATAGGCAAGTAGATTGCGACAGGATATGCCAAGTAGTCCTCTAGATTTGATCACTTAATAAATATGAATAGGGGTCAGGGAGATCTTATTACCATATGGAACGAAACCCACATGGGAGCATCTCCAGCCGGGCCTCAATGGCTAGGAAGGCAAGTCAGAAATCTTGACGTATCAGTTGCATAGATCAATGTGGCAACAGAACACGCAGAGTGGAGGAAAGGTCTCAACGAACGGTTGAAGTCTGTGTTGCACAATTTGTACACATCACATTCTCTTTTGTGGAGCGCGGAGGTATGAAAGTATACCGTGTCGTGCATGCGGGGATGGGCGGAGAACAAATAACCTGGATTCCAAATCATTTGGCAGGTCGCAAATCTGCCATTTTAAAGATGAGCCCTGGCAGATTTGCAAATCTGCGTTTGCTATGCAGAGGGGCGGGAGAGCTGTCGTGTCTCGCGAGATGCGGAGTTTGTTCTCGACACCATTTCAATAATGCCAGCTAAGAGGCTCACGAAGCGCGTCTAGGCTTCCTACATAATTGATCATCCAATATACAGTGATAGAACCAGATGTCTAGCTACTATAGTAGAATGGAGGTGATCACATTTCAGCTGAGGTGGGCGGCACAATCGATCGGTGGCGAAGTGAACGAATCACACGCTTACATCGCCGATGAGGCCTATAAATATTAGATTTCAATGGTGATGAGATATCGTATTGTCCTGCATTGAATTAACGTGTATTGTAGAGCTTCCAACTTTTCATTACGAACGATGTATCTACGTGGCTTTGCAGGATTCCTGGAATGCAAATCAGAATATACTCTGTAGATTGGTAAGAACCAACACTCTGCATTATGATTGTGATCTGCTTCAAGATAATTAGCAAAGTGGCAGGCTGGGATGGCGGTTGCAAATTTTGCTCTCGATTTTGTCCTTGGCGCGTGTCAACATTCCCTGTCTATGTTCTAGGCCATACTTGCCCATCTGTACATCTCTCACCAGTGCTATAACATTAAATCTAGAGACAACCCCGTCAATCTGATCTGCTGGCGATGTTGTTTTAACAGAATGAAGCCTATGTATCTTGTCCTATCCATTTCTAGATGCTGGAGGCTTGAACTGCATTTACTGCCACACATGCCAATTGCACATCAGAGTCTCAGTCCAATGCGAGGAACGACCTATTATGCAACCAAGGAACCATCCGTGTTGCCTCCTCTCAGATACATGTAGGGATTTTTACCAAGGGAGAAGACCGCCTGCATTTTCCTCATGTGGAGCCAGTAGTCTTGTGAAGGTGATCCTCAGTGCTGATTGGATGGGAGTCAGACTTGCTCCATGCTTATTCGGATTCTGGGGATTCTTCGGACCCGAAGTTTTATGCGGCACATTTAGATGCAATAGATGACCCTAATCCTACAACATAGGTACAGCATAATTCTTGGTACTCAATGTGTAGGTGAGGTGGATAGTAGCGAAATGGAATCTCAAGCTGGTGTTGCGATGCGAGCTCAGGGATTGAGGCTCGAAGATAGGTCAGTAGTATTGAAGCCAAGGCTGTAACATAGGGTTGCCATTTACTTATTTTTTTGAGAAGTTGGACTTTGGGTTTCTTGATAGTTGAACAATGTCATGTTGTGTGGTTACCCCTTGCGTTCGCCTTTGGACATCTCGTCCAGCTATCGACATGCTGCAATATGCATGGCGTGCAGTTACCACCTGCACGATGTACGTCGGTTTTACTTTGGAGCCTAGGTCTGTTTTTGCGACATACTAGTGAGGACCTCTGAGCTCAGTTACGGGGGAAGAATTCGGACTCGAGTGGCAGTAGAATAGCTGCGTGGAACTTTGTCCTTCATTTCTCCTTTTCTACATTAAAAGGTTCAAAGGCCCCACTGGAATCTTTATTAATTCCCATGACAATCACTGAAATCAAAATTTTGACCGTGACGCGTATCCACTCGAATGGAGAGCTGAAAATCTACACCAATGCGCCGCCCCAAACCCAGGGAACAGGATAGTGGAGAAAACCGTAGATTGACAGGGTAGATTAAAATTAGAACGCAGATTGGATACCCCGTACGTTTGTCGACATTGAATACTGAGTGGAAGGCCCGTGATTGAAATCTATGTAACCCCGAAAACCCTTTTTTAACGGTGGCAAGATTCAGCAGTCAGCCAGTAGTAGGATTTGGAATTTGCAATGGACCAACAAGATGCCTTACTTGCATTCTTGGAAAAATGGGCTTGGCAACTAAGGTTAAGTTTGGTTTGTTTTTCATTCCGAGAGTTTGACTCAGATCCCGTGCCTGCACGTCAAATCCCGTGGGCTGTCCTTGATGTGGGAGAACCACTCGACGTTCAGAAGGATTTGAATTAATCAAGGAACACATGACCAAACCAACCCCCCCCCCCCCCAACCCCTCCAAAAAAAAATCATCATCGCCTAGCGAAGCCTTGGATCCACGCATATGGAGCACTATTGTACTGTAAGTAGCCCTAAAATGTGTATCCATCCATACTTTAGTACACTACCCACTACACTGACTGATACGCATACAACATACACCACGAACTTGTACTCCGCCACGATCCTTTAATCCTTCATCTTGGCACTATTGGCAATTGAAGTGGGTGACTACATAGATGGGACAGAGATCAAACGGCCAAAAGAACCAGACGAAAAAATAAAGAAAAAAGAAAGAAAGGAATGCTAGGGCAACTCTGTGTCCTTGTGCTACTTTCAATCTGCACGTTTTGACTCGCCCAGAAGACCTCCGACTGGGGAACACCGTTGAGTCTTCTGTCGCACAGATGTCTTGAGCTGCATCCTGATCAAGCCAGGGGTAAACTGAGCTTTTGCCCAAGTTGGGAAGGGAATGATTTGCAGGTGACCTGAGATTCGTGAGATTCGTTTGATGCAAGGCCCTAGCGTGATATCGGCAAAAAAGGACTCGACTAAATGGGGTAAGATGTCATGCCAATCCACTTTCTATACGGGATAGACAAGAACAAGTTTCTGGAAGAAAAACCCCCCTGGGACCCGTGGATGATTCCCGTTGCCAACCATGGGCGAAAAACGGGTAACCCCGAGTCTGGATTACTACGTCACGTATTATTTCTGGTATTTACAATTCCATTTCGCTTGTCCACTGTGGCACACTTTTACATGTTCCATGTGGTATTTTTGATTGTACGCTACAATGCAAATTCCAAACTCACCAGTCGAAGTGTCTGCCAAAGTGGATGCCGCTCAAAGTGTATCTGGATTAAACGACAGCCTAGTACACGGGGAGCCAGGCGCCCAAAGCCCTGGGTTGCTGATCAGCCCGACGACCATCTCGCTGGGAGCCACGGGATGGATAAAGTATCCCTTCAAATGATGTGTGCGCGGCGGGTGGAGGAGGCTGGACGCTTGATTCGAACATCGCCGATCTGGAGTGATATCTCTGCTGATTTGAGAATCGAATTACAACGGAGTTTGTGTTGAGTTGGTGGTTTGGAAAAGCAAGCGCCCCTTGCGAGTTGTGTTTTGAGTCTACCAAGGTATGGCCGAATCGACGGCCAGTGCGGCGGCGCATGTTATTGGATGCCTAGGGCGTTGAAAGGATATTTCGCCCATACACCTCTATTCCTATTATTTGTGTATACTTTCTATGTTCTCTCGAAAAATAAATCAGAGATTGGAAATGGACTGATCAAGAAATCTTGACACCTTGTTCTAAGAGGTCCCGAGTCCTGGGTGTTGGGCAGCGATCCCTGTCTGATACACCAGTATCGTCAGTACAGTGGGACATGAGAAAACAGAAAAATTAGAATTAACTTCAAACACTGTTACAACTACTCCATGTCCGACCCGACGCTCCAAAGCCATAACCAAGAGCAGTCTAACCCAGTATACGTAACTCCCGAGTGAATCGACTTGCATGGCGCATCTCCCGGCGAGGCGGTTGACCTTCGGGCGGCAAATTCAATCCCCGTTCCACGCGGACGATCCTAGCTTCGATCATGGCACTTACGAGGTAATCTATATAGTCTACAACATCTTATGGAGTATCTGTGTTCCTACTTCCAATCCATACAGACACATTGCATATTGTACACGTATCCTAGAATGATGACAAAATTTAGTTATCTTCAGCAGAGCATCTCATTTTTCCCCCCAGCCGCCGGACCCACTGGCTGTTAAATTCAGCCAAAAAGACACAAAAAAGCAGACCTGTCAACTGTATTGAAGTTTTTGTGCTTCTTTCTCAGGGGTCCATATGGATGGTATGTGCTCTTGTAAATGTGATAAATGGGTTGGAAAAAACTATTGGAGCCATTTAAGTTTTGTTTTGTTTTTTTTTTCTAATTCGAGGTATTTGACAGTCACCGCGATTCTAAAGAACAAATCCAGGGAGGGGCAAACACTCACCTGTCGATCCCTACGGGCGTAATTATAACAGTTGAATTTAATTATGTTATTATGTTATTTACTTATCCCATGGATGTTCCCCCTCCCCCAGTTTATATTATTTCTTCCCTTTGGTCATTTTTTTTTTCCCTTTCCATAAAATTCTCTTTTCGATAAATCTCAGGGATATTATACCTTGAACTGGAACTTGCTTGACCTTGAAATTACCATACCTTGGATCAACATACAAGGTGTACCCAAGGCTTCCCAACCACCCCACTTCAGTCAATGGTATTGACTACCTACAGTCCCAAGCACAGGTACGTGGTTAAATTACAATCTTACCATACCTGCCAAGGTACCAACCGCGTACCCCATGTGTATGCTGGGCACCACATCCAACGTTCCCATTCCAACCATGGAACTTGGACCTTGGACCTCAGGTGTTTTCCCCCTCCTTGTGGCCCAACCTTGGTACTTCTGTTTGCGATCTATCTGATAGACGGGTGGATACACTGATCTCTTCTTGACTCCCTTTTCGTTTCCTTTCTCTTGATATTTCCATATCTCGGCTTAACGGGGGCCCCTGGTCGGATCATCGCCGTAATCTGACTATTTGTTTGTCTAGCTCCACACTCGGTCGCCCACTGCGACATCACCACCGCATTTTTGCGACCTGGGAAACTCGGAGCTTTAGACACGCTGCTTGATTCGCAGGCTCCTAACGGCGCGATCTGATTTCATTGTTCCTAACGCTTGCTCCTTCGGACGTCAGATCCACCATCGATCCGCCATTAATTCCCTTCCTTTTGTTACATCCTACTCCCTCGCCTTCAACTCACAGCGCCATGTTGGTTTAAGATCCGATCTACAAAGCCAAATTGCTTCTCAACGGTAAATTGGCCGACCAAGATATACCGAGTGTCAAGGACCCTGGGTAGTCGCGATACGACAAGCCGCGCCTGGCAGCTTCAAATACATCCGCACACCCGGTCCCTCCATTTACAATGAATCGCATGCCTCCTCCGGAAGGGCACCATGCGCACCCGGGTCCGCATACGGCATACGAGCCTGCATGGCGTCCTTCATACGGCCCGTCGTTTGACAACCACCCCGACTCCCGCCGCCCCTCCGCAAACTCCCAGACACCCCTTCCACCGCAGCCGCCACCAGGATACCCCGTGATGCCCAGCCGGGAGCTACCGCAATTAACATCGGAAGGCCCGTATGGTCGTCCGAATGGTCATGGCATACCCCTGCATGCGCCCGCACATTCCCCGCAAGATCCAATGCCCCCCCACCCAAACTTCCACCAGCCGATGAATGGCGCGCCGCATGAGGGGTCGCCTGATTATCGCGCTCGTATGGGCTACCCACCCCCGGATCAGATCAACAGCGCTGAACACACACCCGTTTCGGGTGCTCTGCCTCCTGCTTCCCAGTTCATGGCTCCGGTTGCCCAAATGGCAAGTGCTACGCCGCCTGCCGGGTACGACCAAGCATTTTACCCAAACCAGGCGTTTGGAGCACGCCAGCGTAAGGCGAATAGAGCTACGCAGGTATGTTCAACTAGTGGGGGATTAAATACTTTCGGGGAGACTTTGACTAATACTCGAGCTACATAGGCTTGTGACCAATGCCGAGCTAGGAAGGCAAAATGTGATGAGGGACGTCCGAACTGCAGCCACTGCAAAGAAAACAACCTTAACTGTGTCTACAAAGAAGTTCCGCCGCACAAGCAGGAGAAGACCACCCAGCTGGTATTGGATCGGCTCTCCCAAATAGAGAGCCGCATGGAGGAGCGAGACAACCGCATGGATGAACGTTTCGAAAAAATGCAAAAGCAAATGCTAGAGCAGATGCAAGCGCAATTGCTTTATAAGCCGGTTTTACAACCAACTCAGACTCTCCAAGAATGTCCAGCCCTTCCACCACCACCGCCGCCGGTCATCAAGCAGGACCCGCCTCTCAAAACAGAGATGTCTCAGAGCAAAGTCTCAACCCCAAACTTTTTGGACCTCGGGAGTCAGGATGCAGTTGCTTTATCAAAATTTAGCCAACATATTGGACTTCTAGACCCGAGGCTCGAGGATCAGAAGGAGGCTGAGGGAGAGCTATCCATTCCAGTGGAGCATACTACTGCAGCCCACAAGCTGCTGATGTGGCCGTCAATTAAGAGGCTGCTACATCCTGCAGAGTATGGCGAGGATTATGTGATGCGGTTGGAAGAAGAGCGCGGTCTCATCAGCATCTACGGCCAAGGCGAGATCTCATACACTGCCGACGACAGTCAATTGCCAATGAATGGTGACTCCAAGTGTGGCCGACCCGATGGGGATGGCGCAGGACCGGACGCTGACGTCGACATTGACGAAGCTGGAAATTTAAAGCTGGATGCTGCGACTGCTAGACGCTACTATTCCAGCTACTTCGAGCACATGTTTAAGCTTCACCCATTCCTTATGGAGAGCGAACTCAATTTCAAGGTCGATAGCTTTATCCGATGCTATTGTCGCCTAAACTCGTCTCCGAGTTTGGCTTCCAATTACACACGACTAGCTCGCGACGGTCCGCCACCAGGTAAAAGGAGGCGGTCAAACGACAACCTGGGTGTGCGTGGCGAGTTCATGGAAACCATCTCTAACCCGCCGCGGCCACGAGTCGGTAAGAATATTGACAATGCCATTGTCCTGCTGTGTCTGGCCCTCGGAGCCATTTGCGAAGCTCGTGCCCCTCTCCCTGGTCCTATCATGGACAAGAAGATTGCCTACCATAACCAGCCAATTCCTCGGCCGCTGACACCATTTGTCCCACCGCCGACTGTAAATGGGACTTACGTTACCCATGGTGTGCTCTCCCCCGCAAACTCTGACTCGGCACCCATGCAGATGTCGTTTTCGGGTTCACTTTATTCTATGCCAATCCAGCTTCCTGGCCAATCTTTCCCAAGCGCTCCAATGCATGAACGCATACAAGGCCTGTCAAGGAGAGATGTGACAGACACACAGGATGAACAAGGGAACACGAAGAATTATCAGGCGATTCCCGGCCTGACTCTCTATGGGTACGCGACCGCAATATTGGGCCATCTCCAAGGTGGCAACGAGTTAGAACATGTCCAGTGCGCTTTGCTTGCTGGTCTTTACGCCGGCCAGTTGGCCCATCCCTTCCAGAGTCACAGTTGGATTTCTCAGGCCTCAAGGGCTTGCCAGGTTCTTGTGAGAACCAAGCGATATGAGCGACTTGAAGAGGGGGCCACGCAGGACTTGTACAACTTTGCTTACTGGACTTGTCTGCAATTAGAGAGTGATCTTCTTGCAGAGTTGGATATTCCGGCAAGTGGTATCTCCCGTTCCGAGGGTCGGATGGCAATTCCGAAAGGAAAATGGACAATCGTTCTACCGAATGATCTCAACGCACCCCAAACGATGATGATGCTGTTCTATTCTGCCCAAATTCATCTACGCAAAGTCTTGAATCGAGTTCATACAGACTTGTACAAAGTCGAAAAACAAGGACAAACGCGATGGTCATCCACCGTTCAAGAGGCCCTGAGCCTGAACCTCGACCTCTGGCGTAAAAGCCTACCACAAAACATGCAGTGGGAGGAGAGTGATCCGCCGGCAAACGAAATCAACGCTGCTCGCATGCGTGCCAAGTATTACGGTGCCCGGTATATTATTCATCGACCTCTTCTCTACCACGCTCTGCATTACGGCCACACAGGTGCCCGCGTCGGTCCAGTCGGCCAGTCTGTGGTGGACTCGCCGACCTCGCAACAACTGTCCCCGTCGATGCTGCACAACGCGGCTCGGGCTCTGAGAATGGCGCGTATGCCTAGTGAGATGGGCTCTATGCCGGCCGCAGTCTCTAATGACTGGCAGCCCCCTAAAGTCCGTTTACACGATCTGCCGAAAAAGCTGAAAACTGCTTGCCAAATCTGCATTGCATCGGCCATCAAGAGCACAGAGGCTTTTGACGGTGTAGGTGGACATCGGCTGGTCGTTACCAACATTTTCGGCACTGCCCATGCGTAAGGGATTCTCTGACCCCCCGTTTCGAAGAATCGAATCTAGAAATCAAACTAATATGCTTTCTCCGCAGACAATTCGGGAATATGCTCGTCCTATCTGCAACTTTTATGTCAAGTCTAAATGAGCTTGTCGAACCAGAGCTACTCGATCGTCTTCTCGTCCGCACCATAGGCTTCCTCATCCAAAGCGAGAACATATCCCCTACCCTCCGCGCCGATGCTCGCATTCTCACTGAGATTTACCAGAAGATCTTCGATCGTGCCCCTGACTTGAGCCAAGCCACCAGGATGAGCAGCAACACCCCAAGCCTGAACAGTCACACGACAAGCATCAGCTTCACTTAAAGGTGCATCTAGCGTCAGAGTCATTTTAAGTCCCGTTCCTGTGTGCTTCGCGACCCAATCTCTGATATCCAATGTTCTTATGAACACATCATGAATGTCTTTGTCCCTTTAACCCCGAGCCATTCTGCGCTCAATATCTGTTTTCTATCTGTTTTCTGTCTGTTTTCTGTCTGTCATCTATGCCTTGTGCAATATACGGTTCTTTTCATTGATGATTCCCCTACCCCATCCGCTTCAGCACTCGGCACTCGTGCATCCGAGGCAAGATCAGACTACACGGGCTTTAATGTGGTGCTTGAATGGTGTGGCTTATTTTTATACGCTGAGCGAGGTCTGTTGTTTTCTCATTGCCGTTTCAAGATAGTGGCTGGATTAGCTTTGACTCGTTCTTTTTTTCCCTCTCTCTCTTCACCTTTGATTTTTGGGAGTCGAAAGCATTTTGTGGCTCCGACGGTCTGTCGACCTTGCAGACACGTTTTGGGAATGGAGTTATTGTGTCTTGTGTGGCTACTCTACTTTTACTGCATGCATCTCAAGTCATACACGTTTGTTGGGCTTTTTTGGATGCTCCTACAACATGCCGACCTAGTTTTGTTGATTTGGCTGCGCCGTATCAATTTCAAACTCAATGCAAATGTGTTTGCAGTGAGCGGTTGGCTTTTGGTGTTTTGGATGATACCTCATTTTCAATGTGGGCTTCATTTGGGGGGCTTTTTTGCTGTAGATTTTACTTCCAGTGGTTTTATATGATCTGACAGAACACAGATAAATTGAGATGAAGCCTGATATTACTAGACTATGTGGCTAAATTAGGGAATGAAAGCTTTAGGAAGCTTTTCGGGGGTTGTGCACAAGCTTCGAAGGTCGGAAGCGTTTTGTGGGCCCTTCCGCTACCACGGTGACAGCTCCCATGGTTTCATCGTGGCTAGCCAATATCAAACCAAATATCTAAAAGTCTAATTAGAATAACTGGATGATTCCACATGTAGACATGTGTCCGTATGTAGCTGTACCAACTAAAAATCACAAAGAAATCAAATACATACTGCTTGTGGACCTAGGTTTTCCGGCACCTTGCTCATCAGGAGTTAATTTGGAGGCATGAGTCAGCTTGCTATGTAGATGGTTTACACGACGACATCCTCTGTTATCTCTCAGCTCTTAAAACTTCCAGCCTTAGATACTTGAAGTCTTGAATATCTGGTTAGAGATCGACATAAACTACAACCTAGAAATGGCACCAAGCGCAAGAAAAACGGCTGTCAAGAGAATGTATCGACTCACGGTTCTATGACAAGCTCGGGCTTTACAGCTGATGTACTGGGCAACTTAAACTCCCGGATTCTCTTAGACCACTGGGATTTGCTTCTAATCATTGCTCTGACCCAAAATGTAGCCCGAGGCCGCGAGTTTGCTGAAGCGCGCTCAAAACTCGACAAGGCCCTCAAAAGCCCTAACAGTCCTAGGCCTGACCCCGCAGCTAGGGAGCCGGCTCGACCTTTGAATTCTAAACAAAAGCATCAGCAACCGATATAATTGGAACCACAAAGTCGTAGTTCTAACAGGCCGCTGCAACGGTATCGGCCGACGCATCACCGAGCTGCTCGGGGCGCGAGACCAAAGTCGCCAGAATAGAAGTTGCCCCGCAAGTGACGGACGACACGCTAAAAAGCAGTATGCAGTATTTCGAATACGACATAAACCTTCGCGAATAATAGCACGGATATAGCGTCTAAGGTCCGCAGCTCATTCGGACGACCTAGCATCCTAATTGACAACGCAGGAATCCGCATCGATAAAACAATCCTCACAACAACCTCAGCCAGGACGCGCCGCATGTTCAGATTCATCACGCTGATACGATACAGGCTCATACAGGGTCTTAGCCCAAAATGACCAAGACAAACCATGGTGTGGTTGTCACTGTTGCTTCACTGGCTGGAGCTTATTGAGCAAGTGCTCAAGGAGGAGAGTGGGCATTTTATTGTTCCTAGATCTGCTGGGTGGATTGCAAGTTAGTTTAGTGGGGCATTGCCCAGGCGGCTACAGCATTCGCTGAGGCGTAGGCAGGAGAAGTTGATCAGGGCTAATTAGCGTTGATGATTTAATGGGGGCAATCAGTTGGACCTGAATTGTTCTTTTTTAACACTCAAGGAATGGTTTTGAGTTTATATGCTTATACAGTTATTTATTATATAGATAGATATATTGGGCTATTACTGTCAATAATAAATAGGACGTTGGATATACTGATTTTTACAAAGGCATCAAGGCGTACTATGTGCCGAGAAAGGTAATTTATGATTTGGATAGACTTAGACCTTACAAGTTTCGAAAATCCATCCATAGCTGAGGTACGAAGCACTTCGCAGTCTGTACTCTGTAACTTGTACTCCGTATACAACATATGTTGTAGATGGCTGGGATATGAACAAGTGACGGAACCGCCCTAGCCCCAGCCATTTTAGTCCGTGCGCGATGCTTCACCGCGATTTTAATTCGCTCCACTTGTTGCACCAACAGTTCACCAGTGCCGTGAATCACAATTTTCACTAACGTATTTTCTTCAGCAGATCGAGTGCATCTCATCTAGCCCCTATAGCACAGACTCCATCTAATAAATACTCGACACTAAACAAGAGAATAAAGTGAAGTTGAGCACCACAGGTCAAGTTGAGATCCACTGGGGGCCTTTCTCGGGTACAAGATCCACGGGTCAGCTCCGTTGTTTACTCTCCCCCCCCCAAACAATCCCATAATATTGCGTTCTCCCTGACTTACAACTAATTCATTCCCCTCCCCACACTTTCCCCCCCCCCATTCCAATCATTACATTCCTTTCATCCCACATGATTCGCTCTGGCTCTCCAAATTAATTGCCTACCATGTTCAAAGCCCTGATGGGCGGGGGCCCATCGTCGTCCTCTTCCGACGTTCATAGCAGCCCCAAGAGCAGCCAGCACAAGTCAGAAACGTCCGACAAGTCCGACACAAGAGCGATCTCAAGTTTCAAGTCCTCACGGGGTGACAACCGTGACCGCGGCCCGGGTGATCTGTCGCCTTACTCGCCATCGGCTTCCCGCAGTAAGCGTGGCCCACCCAGCATTGTCAGCGAATCTATCACATCAACCCATGTGACCGCCGAGCCAGAAGCTACTGATGATTCTGATCGCTACTATATTGAACGCATACCAGAACACAAAGACAGTGAATGGGAAAGCAAGAGTTCTTGCTGGCGCGACCAGGACCGATCCGAAAGTTCAGAGCGCGAAAAAAGGAGCCGTCGAGCAACACTAGATACCCTGGACGATGAGTTAGACCGGGAACGCGACCGTGTTGACCGTCGCTGGACACAGCCGGAGGATCCGTATGCGTCCCCAGTATTCACAAATATGCCGTCCAGCGTCCCCGGTGCGCAGTTTGCCGCCGAAATCGGTGTTCCGGAATCCTCGCAATTCCCCGTGCAATGCAACACTCAGATACCATCCGCAGACCATTCGCCAGCACAAGAAGTTCCATATAACCCGCACGTGCAGCAGCAATTTCCCGGCCAGTTCCCAGAGCAAGTTGCTGCACCGTATCGGCCGCCTAATCCTGCCGGCGCCGCGGCAGACTACTATGGTGACCAAGGCCAGTCTGTTGAGCACCAGCCCGGTATTCGACCGGCTCCTCCTAGTGTGCTTCCCAACACTCAAGCACACTTGATGGCTGCATCTCCATCGGCTAATCCACCGCCAGAGCCCAGTAGCCTGGGCGAGACTGGTGCGGCGGCGGCATATTACGACGATAATTTCAATCCTCCGGTACAGCAAGGACAGCCGCCGGTAGTCTCTCCATCTAGACCTCCAAAACCGTCGAGGCCTTCGATGCCTTATCCATCGGGTGTTTTTCCTGCTGCTGCCGTTGGAGGTGCTGCTTATGGCACTGGTGGCATGATGTATCAATCTGAGTCGCATTGCCCTCAACAGCACACTACTTCGTACACGCAGCAGGGACAGCCAGTGTTACAGGGCCAGGCAACGACACAGGATCAGCCAATGGAATATGATCAGGCAATGGGAAGTAGTAGCCAAATGTCTCCCTCTAAGCCGTCCTATTTTCATGGTTTCAGTGACAGTGTCGGGATTGCCGCTGCAGGTGCTGCAACAGGGTATATTGTGAGTCATCAGAATCACTCCTCCAGCCCCGATTACGCACCTCAATGTGCTTTCCAGCACCACGAGCAATCTTCTGAGTCCGATGGTGTGTTGCCGAATTCCCCTGGGCAAGATGATGCATTGAATATTACAGGCACGGGAGAATATGTTGCTAGTGCTGTCTACAGTCCGGGGTTCTATCCCCATGGACCCAGCGCGCTAGCTTTGAAAGAGCGTCAACGTGGCCCTATAGGAAGATTCGTTGATTTCTGGCGTGACCCCGAGGCCGTCGGAAGATTCGAGGACTACACGGAAACCATCGGTGTGTGCAAGTACTGTTTCCAACCTGGCACGAGCTCAGCCAATGCCCCTCGCAAGCACCATTATCACAGACGCCGTAGAAGCTCTCCCGATCGGCGGAGTAGTGGTGGCTCCAGAGTAAGCAAAAATAGCCGATACAACTCCTCCGATGAGGAGAGCCGCCGACGGTTGAAGTCTAAGAAGTCTTCCTCATGGCTACCTGGCATGCTAGCCGGTTATGCGACCAAGTCGCTCTTCTCGAGCAAGGAGTTTGACGATTCCTACAGCCTTCGCTCCGGCCGAGTGGATTCTTCCCATGGCGAAGAAGACCGAAGGAGTCACACCTGTCCTGGTGTGACCCGTCGCTCTGGCCGCAGTCCTCAAAGAGACCATTATGCGCACTCCAAACATGCATCTCAATCTGGATATTCTCGGCACACACACTCCCAATCGCGGTCTTCCTCTCGATCTGGCAGGCATTCGTATCTGAAGGAGGCCGCTCTCGGTGCCGCAGTGGGCGGGGCTGCGATAGCTGTTGCAAAGTCGCCTAGCCGCTCGCGTAGTCGTTCTCCTGAAAGACAACAGCGCCGAAAGGATTCGTCCTCATCATCGTCCTTTGTCAATGTTCCCAGGCCCGCCATGATGTCCATCGCTGGTGGTATCGGCTCTTTCTTCACTGCATCTTCCGAGAACAAGAAGAAACGTAACACCAAGAAGCGGAGCGGGTTCTTTTCTTTCAAGAGTGGGTCATCCTCCTCCTCATTGGACAACGATCTGGCTTTCGGGGATGGATTCTCGAAGAAGTCCTCCAAGCGCAAGAAGAAGGGCAAAACAGTTAAAGATGTCGATGCCGCTTTGATAGAGCTTAGTGACACGGCAACCCGTTTGGCTGGCTCCTCACACTACAGTCCTGGGCGTAGCGCAGGCCAGATGTATAAATCTCGATCTCGACAGTCTAAATACGCCCACTCTGCCACACAGGACGAAGAATGGGTCGATGACGAGTCGGAAGACCCGGATTCTTCAAGTGTTAGCTCTGCGCTCGCCTTCGGAGGAAGCAGCGCTGACTCTTCCTCAGACTCCGACAGCAGCACGTGGGGCTGGAGATGGGGAAGCAAAATGGACAAACGGTCGAGTGCTACAAATGCCGCTCTGGTAGCTGGCGCTGGCGCGATCGAAACCGGTGCAATTTTCTCCGCTCGTCACCGTGATAGCGATCCCCCAAGTAGACATGGGAGCCTGCAACTTGTTTACCCAATATCTACTTCCGACCCCTCTCGCTTTGATGTTGCGAACATGCCCCCATCTGTGTCTGCCGAGGAACTAACTCTCATCCGCCCGGGACCCATCCCTCTCCAGCAGCCTCAGCCTTTCACCCCAATATCTCAATCGGTATACACTACCCAGGGAGCTGTTCCGGGATCGATCCCCGTGCACAGCGCCCCAGCAGTCCCACCTTTTCTTGCCAGTGGGGGTGAACACTACACCTGGCAGTTACAAGCCCCTCGTGATGTAGCATGGGCACCGGAAGAGTCAGCATATGCCGACCGCTGGAAACCTCATCGATGCAGTGATTCCCCTCCTGTTTTCCCCATCCGGGAATCTTCTTCTGGCCCCAAGCCCCGGTCCACCGCTAAGGATCAAGCCTTCGTGCAATTTAACTTGACGGAAGAGCAAGCAGAGAGGGAACGCGGGCTCATTCGTCGTGACAGGGGATATCAGGATGAAGTTTCTGATCAGCCGGTTCAACTGATTGACCGAGAGGAAGAGCTGGCCCGCCAGGAAACTGAGCGTCGAGAGCACCGCCAAAAGGAGCAATATGACGAGGAGCGCGGGCATTCTGGCGAAAGAGAGGGTGGTACCTCATCCTGGGTTGGTGCAACAGCTGCCAGAGCTGTTCGCGCTGCTATTGTCAGAACTGCAGACTATGACGAAGCATCCGAAGCCAGTCAGCGATACAATGATTGCCGAGAGACATGCCGCACCGAGCGGAAACGCGACAATATTTCAGTGGTGGATACTTCGGTCGTGTCGCGGTTTGAGCCCACTCAAACTTTTGATGCAGAAGTCACAAAAGTGGAACACCGCGAAGACCAGAAGAAAGAATCTCCTCGATCTCCCCGTCCAGCACAAGTTTACGACGACTACGCGGACTTTTATGCCCCTGAGGAGTTACGACACCGTCCAGAGGATCACGCCCTCGGCCGTGAGTCTACTACTACACCAACCATTGTGGAGGTAGAGCCCGCTAGCGAACGACGTACAAATGAGGAACCTGCACCTACGGGGGTTGACTACTCATACGAACCCTATCAACACGTGGATCGCCTCCCATGGCCAGTCCCTAGGCTCAAATTTATTGAGCCAAGTCCTCCCCAGAGCGTGAATGATGGTCCCGTTCGCTATGCTGCCTCGCCAATGCCCCCCCTAAATAAACCTAATAGTACCAAGCCCTACGCACGATCAATCGCCTCCCGGGTCTCCTGGGGCAAACATGAGACTCACGAATACGAGATCCTTTCTTCTTCTGAACAGGATCCTCGTGCACATGACATTTCCCCTACTGAGATACCAGCTAAGAATGTTCCTCTCCCGGAATCCGAGATACCCCAATCAAAGGATATCCTCAGCACACCGCAGTACGGCGCCGATATTGAATTCGCCGCCACGATTGCTGCCGCGACTGCTGCTGCTGGGTTTGACCCCGCCCTGGTCACAGACGACCCATCCTACCATACACGCAGTTCTCTTCCTGGATCGGAGAATGAACACGTCTTTACCTCACCTTGGTCTGTATCGGCTCGGAGGCAGCCCCAGGGCTTCACCGAGGGCGAGCTCAAAGAAAATGACCCCAAGTTTACCAAGGATATCACATCCGCTCCAAAAAGCGTGTTCCAGGATAAGGATATTCTTCTCTCCGAACAGCCAGAATCCTTGTTAAGTGATCGAGATTTATCCTCGGAATACCATGACAGGGCCTCCATTTCCCGTGAGGTTATTGAGCAGCCGAGTGGCAAATCTGGCAAGCGCGATCGTATCCCATCGTCAGAAAATGAAGCAGATGTCTTCTCGATGCCTGGTGGCTTTGATACAGCCGGCTCTAAAGACTTGGCTAACGCAAGATCTGTGGCCTCAGCGTCAGCGCCTGTTGCCATGGACCCAGAGTCCCCAGCCAAGTCCAAGTCTAAGAAGTCAGGGCAGAGTGGTGATGTCTTTGATCCCCCCGAGTGTCAAGAGCAAGAACTCGCCGAATCTCCTGTTTTAAAGGATGGGACAACGAAGTCCCACAACTCCCGGCGCAACGGCGAAGAGTTTGAAAGTAGCGAGTCACTGGAGGTTTCTGCATCTCGGGGTGACTCTTACGCTGTTGTCTCTGCTTGGTTGGATAAACGCTCATCCCGCGAGGACATATCCAAAGCTGGCGTGGATGATGAACGCCATCGCCACGAGAAGCGTTCTTCCCAGCACCGCAGCTCCAGCAATGGGGATGACATCGATCGATTTATGTCGGACAAGCAGAAGAATACTCAAGATGACACAAATCTGGAGGAGTGCAGATCCAGTAGACAGCAGAAGGAGGAGCGGCGTCGTCATCGTTACGAGGAAATCGTTGATTCAGGAAGGAACCGAGAATCTGATAAGGTATAGTATCTGAACTTTTCTTTTTGCTTTATTTGTGATTTTGGTTGTACACTCTACTATCCCACATAGTTTCCCCCTTTTTCGCTGGTTGATCTGACCAGTTTGCACAAAAACTACAAACCCGAACAGAAAAGAAATGTACTAAGCTTTAATTCGTTTAATTCCATGTGCAGGACGGATATAGCGACGTCTTCGACGAGCAATCTTTTTCTAGGAAGCAACTTGAAATTCTAGCCTCTGAGCGCGAAAAACATGGTGCTTCGTGGCTACCAACAGCAGAGTCTAGCGCAGCTGTTGTCGCTACAACATCAGGTCTCAATGAGATCCTGCAGCAGAGGGCCCGGAGCCACTCCACCTCCCCACCAGCCACAGAGAAGATAATCGACCTGACCCCTAAGTCTCTAAGCCGCCCCGCTTCACCTAAAACAAGCCACCCCCAGGAGTCCCGATCGCCCAAGCAACGCCGACACTCTGTGGCCAAGTCCACCACCGAATCGCCAACAGCCGTGCCTCTCCACTTCCGCCGGCCTCCAACTTCCCCGAGCCTCTCCCGCGCAGTCCCCGTTGAACAATTCACCCCCGTCGCCTCCCCTAGCTCCCCAAGCCAGCATCGCAATCGCCGTCCCGGGTCATTCGAGTTCCGAAATTCGCGCGAGATTCGCCCTTTATGGCTCGTCGAGCGCCACAGCCTGATCAAGGGCGAGCCTGATACCGAAGAGCCATTACCATCGCTCCCATCAAGCAAGACCTCCTCCCGCACCCCGTCAATGGAGCTCCTTCATGATCACGACGGCCCCGAAAGCTGGAAGCATGTAGAGCTGAGCCACTCAATCATGAAAAATCAGCGGCCCACTGGTTTGATGATCACAACTGACCAAGCGAACGAAAGCCATGATAGAGAGCTTGATCTTCTCGGCTCGCAGCAGGCCACACCTACTGCTGAAAACTTCCAAGATTCAGAGAACAGGAAGGAAAAGCCCAAATACGAATTCCACTCTCCCTCGGAGCTCCTGCAGGACCCCGCTGTTCTTGACGAGTTGCCTTCCTTACCTATGCTGGACGCTCTGCCTTCTGCGGAAGGCTCCATGGTTGGCGTTGGCTCTAGGGAGCAAGAAACGCAGCGTGCGCTTGATGCTCTAGAAGGTGTGTCCCGTCCTCAGCCTGAGCCCGAAACCCAGACCCAAGAGAAGGATTCGATCTTGGACTTTGCCAAGGGTGCTGGTTTTGCTGGTATTGTCGATGCAGCTGCCATTGCCTCTGCCGGGGAACATGATCAGTCTCGCTTCTTGCCCGTAGGCGAACCCGAGAAGGGTCATGGCTTCAGTGACATCGTCAATGCGGCGATTGCCGCTGAACGCTCTTCTCACGACCATGCCAAGGCGCCTGTCGCTGAGAAGGCTCTCGGTGAGCTCGTTACTGCCATCGAAAAGCATTGCCCCGCTGTGCCCGAGCCTATACACCCAGACATGGAGACGGCCAATGAATATGACCCTGAGTCTTCTGAACATCAACCTCAGCCTGAGACAAAAGTCACTACTAAGGAGGGTGCAGCTACCCTGTCTTGTCAGAAAAAAATCAAGACTGAATGCAAGGAAGATGCCGATCTTGTAGCCCCCGGGCAACCTCTTGGGCAGGAAGCGTCGTCTAAGGAGTTGGTACAGGAATCTGCAGTGGATGCGCTTGTCATTGAAGCGGGTTCTGCTGAGCCTGGGGTCGACGAGCCTGTGCTCGAAGCTGCTCTGGTCAAATCCACTCCTATCAAGAACGCTCCTGTTGAGCCTGGGGATGCTGTTCCTGAGCGATCTGAGGCCGAACCTATCAAGGCCTCTCTTGAGCTTCGCAATGAGCCTTTGGTGCCAGCAACTGAAAAAACAGAAGTTGTTACCACCCCTGAACTTGAGCCTGCTGAGGTGGCGCCTGTCGAAATCCAACAGGCTGAGAACACTGCATCATCGCTTGAAAAGGCCAAACGCGACAAGACGAAGCAGAAGACTAAATCTAAGGACGTATCTCCTTTCGAAGAGCCTTCAGATGATACGGTTGTTGCTCATCCTCAGGATGATACTTCTGCCTCCAAGGATATTGAGGGCCAGCAAGAAGACGACGCACATGCGGCTGCCAAGGAGATTGCGGCTGCGCCGTTATCCGAGGATATTGATATTTCGACTGGATTCCCTGAGAACACCTCTGAGCAGACTGCGATATCCACTGCTGCCACTGATGGAGTGCAAGATCGAAACCAGCAGGACTCCAAAGAGCTGACCGAGCCTATGAAACAGGTACATAGTGAAGAGTCTGTACCACCTGTTTCCGAAGATCCTAGTTTGCCCACCGATGGACAGAAAACCCCGGAGCCAATTTTCACTGATGCCATTGAGAACCCAATTACTGGTGCTATTCAACCAGACGCAGAGGAGGTATCCCGCAGCCCGGAAGAGTCTGAGAAGCCAACTGAAGATTTTACTCCAGAGGCCCCTCTTGATGTCACCGCGCATGAAGTTACTGAACCATCCAAAGAAGCCACCGAAGGTGTGGATAACTTCGAAGAGGCTGTTGAAGAACAGATTCTACAGCCTGCTGAAGAAGCGGAGCCTGCACCGGAGCCTCCCATCCAAGTGACTGCAGATGCCCCTGCAGAGGCTTCAGGCACCAAGGCAGAGAAGCAGAAAAACAAGAAAAACAAGATAGAAGAGATTAGTATTTCCCACGATACACCTGCTCCCGAGACTGCAATTCAGCCAGAACCCCAATATCTCGAAACTGAGCAATCAGTTGTTGTCGAACCTGTGGACACCCAATGCACTCCGATTGGCGGTGAAGCCTTTCCATCTGATCCTGAACATCTTGAACAGCCTACCAAGGATATTGAACAACCTCTCGAAAGTAAATTTAAGCAGCCTGCAAAAACTCAAGAGCAGGAGCAAATTCCATTGGAGGCCGCTATAGATGCAACACATGTCGTGACCGAGCCAGTGGACCCAGCTGGGTCATCTGATGAACTGTCACAGCCCGCTGTCATCGATGTCCAGCCTAACGTTAAACTCATGGATCCTGCTGAAGGGTCTTCCCGCGAAATCTCAGAAACTTTTCCTGTTGAGACTCAACCCAATGCCGAAGTCGCCTTGACAGCGGCTCAGAAGAGGAAGGCCAAGAAAAATAACAAGAAGGTCAAGCAAAGTGAAAATTTCATTCATGACGACGAGAAGCCCGCTGAGTCTATCTCGCCGTCACCTGCGATTGAGACCCCCGCCGAGAATGTGGCCAAGAAAGCTTTCCTTGTCACCAAAGACGCACCGGTGGATGCGCCTACTCAAGAACGCGAGATGAAGCTGCCTACCGAGATCGAACAATCGCTTGAGCCCGAGCAACTTCCCGAGCCTGAGCAACTTTCTGAGGTTGTGCCGCCCCAGAAAGAAGCTTCTCTGGACCCTGTTCCAGAACCAATGGTGGAGCTGACAAACAAAGAGACACTTAATGAAGAACCCATCGCACTAGAGGAGCAGCCTAAAGCCGAAAAATCTCCTGCCGAGCCAGAGGTTCCTATGACCGCTGCCGAGACGACGAAGTCTAAGAAGGCGAAAAAGGAGCAGCAGGAAGGGCCTAAAGATATCATTGGCTCTACCGCTGAAGATATCAAACCCGCTGAGGCCGAGCCTGCTCCCGATGCCGAATTTGCTGAGTCAAGCAAGGGTACTGCGCGTGTCGCAGAAACTGATGGTATTGCTCCGGCGGAATTCTCCGCGCCGGCGCCTTCCGAGCACACTCAGACTGAACAACATGTTGCACAAGCTTCTACAGACAAGCCCGAGGCCGCCATAGTCACCAAAGATACTATTTTGCTAACTGACACTGAGACTATCAAGCCAACGGAAGACATCGAGTCTCCCGCTGACGCTGAGCCCCTGATAGAAGACGTTGCCCCGTTGTCTGAGATTGGGGCCACAGAAGCTGCCACAGAAGCTGCTACAGAAGCTGCCACAGATGTTCCACTTGCATCCGGGGGACTCACTGCTGCTACCGAAATGCTTCGAGATGTTGACCAACAGGGCGTTGTCGTTGCAGTAGAGGGGCCGAAGAGCGAGCATGTGATTCCAGCGCCCAGCGAAGAAACTTTGGTTGACGCTGCACAGACCGATGCGCCCAAAGCGGAAGAACAATCACCAAAATCTGAGTCCCCAATGACTGCTGCCGAGAAGAAGAAGACCAAAAAAAACAAGAAGCAGCAGCAGCAAGAGTCTGTACAACTTGATGAGCAGTCCACGCCTGAGACTGAGCCTACTTCTGTCGAGCAAAAGACTATCAAACAATCTAATGACGGTTTGCCCGAGTGTGGAGCCACACCTACCATAGAGCCCGCAACGGGTATTGATGAGCCTACAGAACCCGAGGCATCCAGCGTTCTTGAAGCCGAGACTAAGTCTGAAGAGGGACAAGCCCAGGATGTGCCAGTTGTCGACTCCGAACTTGCTTCAGAGGCACCCGAAGGCGAGGCTATTCATACCCCGGAGCTTGTTGAACAAGCCATAGATGTTCAAGTTGGGGACAAAGAAATTACCCCAGAGCCGACAGTTGAAGGTACTGATTCTACGGAAACCCCCCAGGAAGAACAAAATCTTGATACAGTCGTCAGCGAGGAGCCTGCTTTCGACAAGCCCTTAGATAAAAAGCCCACAGACTCCACACCAGAGCCAGTTGTGGAGGTGACTCAACCAAAGGAGTACGCAGGAAGTCCAGTATTGGAGCAAGATTATGATAAACAGGCGACAAATTCTTCAGAGACGAAGAAGAGGAATAAGAAGAAGCGCCAATCAGTTGCCGCTGAAGAGGAGCAGTCTGCACCTGCTGAGGATGAGGTTGAGCTTGCGCCCACCGAAGAACAATCTATAGCTGTGCCCACCGGGGGTGAATACACTGAACCTACGCCATCTGAAGATGTTGAAAATCATTCACTCGATAAAGAAGTTAAGATTGTTGTTGCTGCGGATGAGCCCTGTTTGGAAGAACCTACGCAGCCTGAGGCCGCTGTCGATGCAGCTGCCATCAAGACCACTGAAGAGGCATCGATGACTCCCGCTCAGAAAAGGAAGGACACGAAAGACAAGAAAAACCGCCAATCAGTTGTTGCCGGGGAGGAACAGTTTATGCCTGTTGATGAGCCCAAGCCTGATCTAACTGAGGACGAGGTTAAGCTCGCACCAGCCGAAGAGGAAGCTACACCTATGCCAACTGGGGGTGAACCCACTGAATCCCCACCATCGCAGGAGATTGAACCACGTTCTCTCGACAAAGCCGTGGAGGCTCCTGTTATAACGGAGGAGGCGCCTAAGACCGAAGAGCCCATACAACTGGAGGCCCCTACTAATACGGATGCTGCAGAGACCGGTGAAGAGGCAACAATGACCCCTGCTCAGAAGAGGAAGGCCAAGGCTGAAGAGCCCTATCTGGAAGAGGCCACGCAGCCTGAGGCCACTGTCGATGCAGCCGGCACCGAAGCCGTTGAAGAGCCACCAATGACTCCTGCTCAGAAGAGGAAGGCCAAGAAGGACAGGAAAAAGCGTCAATCAGTTGCCGCTGAAGAGGAGCAGCCTACACCCGCCGAGGAGGAGGTTAAGCTTTCACCTGCTGAAGAGGAATTTGCATCTGTGCCTACTGAGGGTAAATCCACCGAATCCGTACCATCGCAACATCTAGAACACCCTTCTCTTAACCTAGACACGGAGATTTCTACTGCGACAGAAGAAGCGGCCAAGGCTGAAGAGCCCTATCTGGAAGAGGCCACGCAGCCTGAGGCCACTGTCGATGCAGCCGGCACCGAAGCCGTTGAAGAGCCACCAATGACTCCTGCTCAGAAGAGGAAGGCCAAGAAGGACAAGAAAAAGCGACAATCAATGGTTGCTGAAGAGGAACTGCCTACGTCTGTTGAGGAGCCCCAGCCTGACTCCCTCCAGGAAGAGCCCATTGAGATTGAGTCGAGCCACGAAACGGAACAGCCTACTTTGGACCAATATGCCCAGACTCCTAATAAGAGAGAAGAAGAAGCGCGTATGACCCAGGAGCCATTTCTGAAAGAAGTCACACAGCAGGATTCCCCTGCCGATGCAGCTTCTACCGAGGCTGCCGAGGCTGCCGAGGAGGAGGCAATGACTCCCGCCCAAAAACGGAAGGCCAAAAAAGACAAGAAAAAGCAACGCAAGTCCGTTGCTTTTGGCGACGAGCCCACTCCGACCGAAGAGCCCAAGCCAGAGCAGGATTTATCTGCGTCTGAAGATAAGGTCGAATCATATGACGCGCCGGCTGACTTGGTTGTGTCAGAAGAATCAGCTGAGGAGCTGCCAGTGACTGAAGCAGTCGTCGAGCCTGCTGCTAAAGGAGAAGCCTCGGAGAAGACAGAAGCACCCACCTTCTTTGAAAAAAACAAGGAGATCGCCGAGCCTGGGCCAGTCTCAACAGTTGCGTCCGATACCCCCATTTCTGCTGAGGTCGAAGAGCCAAAATCGGCAATTGAGTTACCAGAGCAGCCGGAACATGCCGATCAGACTCCCTCAGAACCTCAGTCGCCGAGTGCACAGGTGCCCGAAGTTCCCTTGACTGCGGCGCAGAAGAAGAAGGCGAAGAAGAACAAGAAGAAGGTCAAGTCTGTGGACTTGGCCGAAAAGGCCTCTAGTGCCACAGACGTAGTGCAGGAATCTGAGCCCAATGTCCAAACTTCCACCGGTTATCCCGCCGCTGTACCAGAGTTGCAAGAAACTCCGGTTTCTGAGCCAGCACAGCCGGCAGAAGGTGTCGAGCAAGAAAATGCCAACGAGCCCGAGGCTTACAAGGCAAATGAACACGAGACAACAGAAATCGTACCTCGCGATGTGACAAAAGAGGAAACTCCTGATGTCAAGGAGACTAAAATTGAACCTCGGGCTACTGAGGCGATTGTCGATGGTGAGCCAGCCCCCTTCCAGGAAACAGAGCCCACTGCCCCTTCTCCCGCCGAAACGGCCGAAGAAGGTGGCATGTCGGCCAAGGAGCGACGCAAAGCTGCCAAGAAAGCGAAGAAACGCCAGTCCAAGAATATCGACGCCGACAACAACGCCGCGAGCTCCGATTCGCTTTCAGCCCCGACAGCGGAGCCTGCTGCATCAACTGAAGCGACCTACGTTGCTGAAAAGGTCATCACTTCTACGGACGAAGACGCCTCTGGACTTTCAGTCGTATCGGCGTCCTCGCCCGCGGAACATGACGGTAAAGAACATCAGTCCCACGACATAGAAACTAACGACGCCACAGCGCAAAATACGGCCTCGACCGATACATTTATGCCTTCGCAGGTAAAGCAGACGCCGAAAGAGAGTCCTTTTTTAGATTATCCTCCCCAACCCGTGCTTGAGCGTTCAGATGATTCCGGCTGGTTGGTGGAGGTAAATGCTCCGCAGGAGGGCGATGTTGCTCCTACTGCACAGGAGCGAGAGGGGAAGTTGGTTGAGGCAGCACCCCTTGAGGGAATCAAGATAGCTGATAATGATAAAAATGTTGAGGAAAAATCATCTATGCCGGAAATAGGTGATCTATCCACGGAGAAGGATGTTGAACAGATTGTGGTTGAAGAGATGCCTGTGGATGTGCCGATTGATTTTGTTCCTGAGGCACAGACACAAGAATATCTTGCGGAGGAGGAGGCTTCTGAGACAGCTGTCTCGAAGAAGCAGAGGAGGAAAACCAAAAAGAAAACCGAAAAACAAGACGACGAAGCTGCAGCATTTGAGCCTGAGACCCCCATTGCAGAGGACAAGGAGCAGCTTGAAGCTGCGCTTTTGGTTGAGGCCGAGCCCCAGCTAGAGGTAAAGCAAATAACTGAGCCGGAGCCCACTATTGAGGCCGAACCAGTGCCAGTTTCAGAGGAGCAATCGGCAGATCACCTACAGGAAATCGCAGCGACTGGGGCTGTCCAAGCAACTGAGAAGATTGATGACACCAAAGAGGTCAAGATCCCAGAAGCCGAGGCCATTCCTACTTCTACAGAAGAGACCACGCAGCCAGAGGGCCCTGCTAATGCAGCCGCCGCTGAGGTCGCCGAGGATCTTGTGATGCCTTCCGAAAAATCCGAACAGGACCTTTCAAACCAGGAAATCAATAGCGGGGAGCGTTCTATTGAATCCCTGTCCATTGAATCTATAACCCAGGAAGGAGACAAGCCGGCCAAGGAAGCAGCCAAATCTCCGGTCGAGGTTCCAGATGACGAGCAACCTAGCGAACAAGCGCTGCCTGAAGCTGCCCTTGAGCCCGAAGAGGAATCTGGCAGTGTTCCCAAGAAAATGAGCACGAAAAAGAAAAAGGCTGCCGCCGCTGCCGCCCTTCTTGAGGAACAAAAACTCGTCGAGTCACAACCTGAGCCCGAGGAGCCCTCAGCTATCACTGCTCAAGCATTAGAGGAGGTGATAGAGAAACCACATATCGTTCTAGAGCCACAGCCTCTAGAGACCGATAGTATGCCCCAGCCTGAGGCAAAAAGAAGCCTAGAGAAACCATCAGGATTGACAACTTCCAAGCTGAAAGAAGACATCCTGGAGCAGCTTATTGGGGCTTCTCTGTCTACGGAGCCTCTCGAATTCGAGGACAAACTGGAGGTGTCCACAAAAGAGTTAGCCGAGGATCCACCTGCGGCCGGCACCGATACTAAGAAAGGGTCAAAGAAAGACAAGAAAAAGGCCAAGAAGCAAGTAAAGCAGGAATTTATTGGGCCGGCTTCTCCTCCCACCGATGAGCATGTCCCTATCACCGAGCCTGTGACTGCAGAGGCTCCCACATCTGAGGCGACTTTTGAGGAGACTGCAACGGAGGTTGTTCCTACTACCGAGCCTGCAACTACAGATCCCGCTGTTGAACTGGAGACGACTCTTCAAGAAGCACCGACTAACACTATTCCTTGGCCTGAGTCTAATGGCCGGGAAGAAACCCATGAGGCTCCCAAGCTCGAGGTCGAAAGCATCGAAACGCCAGCTCGTGAGGGATTTAGCACCGTTTCAGAAGACAGGCGGCCTTCAGAAAGCGAGAAAAATGAAATTGTCGTCCCTCTGGATACCCTCGATACGCTCTCGCCTGTGGAACGCAGTGACTCAAATACCAAAAATGAGACCCTTGACCTCGAGAGTCTTGCAGAGAAGAAGGACCAGGAAGACGAATCTAATGCCGGGGCCAATCCACAGGATCTTGAGAAAGCCCCTGACTTTGAAGACGTTGAGCACCTTGTTGAAGACCGACCTGGAGAGCCCGAAGTGAAGCTGGCTCTGTCCGAGAAGGAAAAGCGTAAGGCCCAGAAAACTGCTGGCATCACTGAAGAAGTTCCGACTCGACAACAAGAAGAGCTTCAGGCTGGTGTTGCTGAGTTGCCCACCGAATCTGAGATCCATCTGACAGAGCCTGCCGTGGAGCAGGAGATTATCAAGGAAACTGAATGTTCTGCAGGGCCTCAACCAGCATTGGAGAGAGATCTTCCAATCGAGACTCCCCATCCGATTGAGAATCAGCCTATACTACACCCAGAAGTTCAGGTTGAGCCTACGCGACCTGTTAAAGAGACCGCCAGCGAGGAAGCTCCGCTTTCACACAGGGCCTTGACGAAGAAGGCCAAGAAGGCCCAAATGGTCAACCAACACTTGGACACTGAGCCACCGGCTGAAACCACGATCGATGCAGATCGGCATGCTACCATTGTGGCGTTCGAAGAGGATCAATCAAAGGCACAGGATACAGAAGTGCCAGACGAGAAGTCATCACATGACGAAGAGGATTGGCCGGCAATTGACTGGCAGGCCAAGATTGAAGAGTCACAGCGATTAAGGGAAGCGGACCCCGAACCTGAGCTGCATATTCCACCTCCTGAGCCGGAGATAATTGGAGAATTTATTGATTCTTCATTCCCTGAAGCTTCGCAAGATGCAAACGAAGCTCCGGAACAAGATGCTTGGGCTTTGCCAGTGAGCAAAAAAGACAAGAAGAACAAGAGGCAGTCACAGCAAGCTGCTCCGGAAGTCGAGGAGGAGTCTCCACTGGAACCCTCAAACGATAAAGAGACCGAGCCGCCTTCTGCAACAACTACGACCGGTGGATCTAAGATTGCCGGCTTGTTTCCCGGCCTCGAACGCGCTGGATTTCGGCGATCCGCTTTGGTCCAGAAAACACGTTCGCTAAAAGATAGTGCTGAGGATGAGACAACAGCGGACTTAGAAGCGAATCGCGAAATCGCGATCCCTGTCTTGGAAGCACCCCTAGCGACCACTGAAACCAAAGAAACTACCGATGACATCACTTCGGGGCTGCCTAGCAGTCTCGAAAGTAAAATTGAGTCTGCAATCTCGGAGCTGAAAACTCACCCCGAACCACCTCCTGCTACGGTGAAGGAATCGATCAGAGATTCAGACCGTCCGAAGTTAGTCAAAAAGTACTTGGATGCACCCTCGTCATCGTCAAGGGAGCCCTCCAATGAGCGGACTTGTACTGAGGAACCTCCTTCTCCTGTGCGTTTTCCACCCCCAGCGGAATCCGGAGAGCAACTGTGTGGACTATCCCGATCCCCATCAATTCATGGAAGGCACCAGCGCACGCCCAAAGCTTGGAGTTTGGAAGAGCCATCTCTACAAGCTATTCGTGCCCCATCCCCTCCCCGATCGCTATTTGGACCGACCGACGATTATGTGCGACCACGGACTCCGCTTGATACAATCGCGGAACAAGAACCACGGTATGCGCACGGGGTGACCATGGCTCGTCGCGGGACGCCCCGCCTGGAGATGAAGCCCGAACATTTCTTACCTCGACCTCAGACACCCGTCCGGAAACTTACAGACAATGCTTTTGATCGAGAAGCTTGGCCTGAAAACCAGAAAGAGAGTTTCAAACCAGAATTTTTTAAAACGCCCGAGCAAGGGATCCTGAAGTCCAGCACCAGCAGTGGAAAATTGCGTCGTACAAATCGGAGTTTTAGTGGTGATCTGCGGGCGGCTAGTCGAGCGCTAGATTCCCAGCCTTCGAATCTTGATCTCGATCAGCTCCCGTCTTCCTCCTCTTACGACCCCGTCACCGACAAGGGCAAGCGTCCGCTGCGAAACATGTCGGATGTTTATGTAAGATGTCACTTCACATTTACTTTGGCAACTGTTTACAATTGTGTGTTTGTTGTTGTTTACTAACTTCCGTAGGAGGGATGGGGTGAGACGCCCAACTCCCCGCGGTCGCCCAGCCGACCGGCTAGTGTCCGCCGCCGTCGCAGCATGCAATACCTGCAAGACATCGAAACCCGCCTCGACCAGCTCATCTCTGAGAACCGTCTGCTTATCGCCGCCCGCGATGAAGCCGAAGATAAGCTTCGAAATACCAGCGTCGCTCGTCGAAAGAGCGACCGTGCCCTTAACACCCGCGACGGCGATCTGCGCGATCGGGAATCGGAGGTGGAACAATTGAAGGGCTCTGTGGAATGGCTGCAGAAGGAGATCACTCGTCTAACCCAAGAGAACGAGGGGCTGGCCGCATCCAATTCTGCTCTTGCCGCCACCCACGCAGCCGAGGTCACCGATTTACGCGAGTCGTCCACACGCGAACTTGCCAAATTGCAATCGCAACACACTCAACTCTCGTCCCAGATAGAGGACCGAGTTCGACAAGAAATTGAGTCGGTTCTTGCGCAAAAAGACGTTGAATTGCGCCGTCTGCGCACCGAACTTGAGGGGGCTCGTGATAAGGTCAAGGAGCTCCAACAACAAATCGCATCCTCGGTACATGACAATGCGCTTGTCTTCCGTGGTGAAGAATACTTCGAGGCTGCCTGCCAGAAGCTCTGTGGCCACGTTCAATCTTGGGTCGTGCGCTTCTCCAAGCACAATGATACGCGTCGCTGCCGCCCGCTCAGTGAGTTGCAGGACGAAAAGATCGCTGATCGTTTCGACAATGCCCTCCTCGATGGCTCCGATCCCGATGCCTATCTATCCGATCGTGTCCGCCGCCGCGATGTATTCATGTCGGTGGTTATGACGATGGTTTGGGAATACATCTTCACACGCTATCTCTTCGGCATGGACCGGGAGCAGCGTCAAAAGCTCAAATCTCTTGAGAAACAGTTGGGCGAGATTGGCCCGACCCGTGCTGTGCATCGCTGGCGAGCCACCACTCTCACTCTGCTATCCCGGCGACCAGCGTTTGCTGCGCAACGTGAGAGCGATACGGAGGCTGTTACGCTGGAGATCTTCCAAACCTTATCGCAGGTCCTCCCTCCCCCGTCGCATGTTGAATCTCAGCTCCTGGATAACCTCCGCAAAATCATGCGAGTAGCAGTCAGCCTATCCTTGGAGATGCGCACGCAGCTGGCTGAATTTATCATGCTGCCGCCTTTGCAGCCCGAATATGATACCAATGGCGACCTTGCACGCCAAGTGTACTTCAACGCAGCCCTGATGAATGAGCGCAGTGGTCTGACAAACGACAATAACGAGCTCGAAGCTCAACGTTCTATTGTGCGCATTGTGCTCTTCCCTCTCGTTGTCAAAAAGGGCAATGACGTGGGCGAGGGCGAGGACGAGGAGGTCGTCTGCCCCGCCCAGGTCCTTATTGCCCGCCCCAGTGAAGACAGGAAAGTCTCAAGGATGATAAGCGGCGATCGAATGTCCATCGAAACTTCCAAGTCAGTCCACAGCGTTGTTCAAAGTATTGCTAACAGTGTGACACCGTCATCTATAATGGACATGACCAATGTGATCTGAGGCGTCACACTTCGATCATGATTACTCCCATCTTTACATGCATCCTTGCTGCATACTTGCTGCATCCTTGTTTTTATTGTCAAATCTTTGTGTTTTCTTCTCTCGCCGTTTGCGATGTGGCGTCTGGGTCATCAAACGTAACGGTGATCGGCCGATGGCCCTACATATGTGAAGTTTTTTTTTTCATGTTTCTGTTTGTCTTTCTCATGTGTTCTTTCTAAGACAAATGCGTTAGCCCGATGTGTATTTACCATGGCCTTGATGTCTTATGAGTGATGACCCGTGCTTCTGGTTTAGCAGTGTAATAATTGATGTCTACTTTATTCTTTCTACTTGGCTTGTTCCTTGGCTGAAATTGTAAGACTGCTCTTTTTTTCAAAAAGAAAAAAAAACCAAGTGGTTCCAGATCACTTGTTATGGATGTTATGGATGGTCCATCAGTATCGGACACAGGAGCTGTTTGCTTTGCCTTTGTGCTTTTGTTACGTTCACTTTGTTAGATATAAGAAGAGTAGTCGGCCACTTATGCGGCGTTGTGACGTGAGTCCTTTTCACTTAAGGTCTTTTTGGATGCCTTTTGAAAGTATTCTCACCAACCTTCCCATATTGAGCTACATGGACCCAGGTATGAATCTTCTGCAGTCGTTGCATCAACGGAATAGGTCGCATCTCAGGCCCGTGAACAGCCGAATAGCTCGGGTTTTCATGAAATCGGAGCTCTCGAAGTCTACACAAGATATTCATCCTATGGGCTTCTATTGTATCTTCAAAGCAAACGAAACACCTAGAAATTCGGTCTAGAATAAGGTAGAACGCATATCAAGGCATCAACTCTTTAACATCACCAACAGGGGACTCTATTGGGGTCATAGAATTGTCACTCATCTACCGAGCACCTTCTTAGAAGTGCCAGTTCAAGTGCCAGGCCAGGACCAAACGAGGTAGCAATAACATGCTCTTTGTTACTCTGCAAACGAAGTTGATCCAAGACAACCAAGATTGAAGCGCTAGAGGAGTTTCCCCGTGTGCGATATATCTCCCGACTTACCTGGAGTTGATCTTTGGATAATTGCAAGATTTGAGCTACGCCATCTAGGATTGGCCTTCCTCCAGGATGCAAGGCCCAGTCAAAATCGCAGATCTCAAACGATCGCAGCATTGTTCCTCCTGCTCTTGGTTCGGACTTTATTTGTTCCTCATACGAGGGAAGCAGTCTCTCAAACATTGGTCCGATCGCATGTTTGGTGTATTGAGGAATAGCTCGATCAAGTGTAGCTTGATAACCTATGTATGTGTGCAACCAAAGGTTGGTCCCCGATGATTAGTTTCAAGTGTTTTTCTGAAAGAGCGAATGACGACTGACAGACCATGTGTATCCGCATAAAATATCATAAGCTCAGCAGTGTCCGGAATCAAATCATGGCCCCATTCCAGAAGCCTATACAGAGGAGTGGCTTGATCGTCCCGAGCCATTGCATACTCATTACAAAGAACCAAAGCGGCCGCGGCATCCGAAAACAAGACCGCTGCAATGTTGACGTGATCTGAATCCGGACTGTTTTCTGCTATTGACAGATATCGTCGCACATTGGGCGTACACAGCTCACAAGCGAATGCCAGAATACGGGCCGGTTTTCGTCGTAGACTTGCCCCACCAGCTATCTGCGCCGCGGCCCGCAATATGGACAGCCCACCCGCACACCCAACGCCGTGGAGAAGCATGCGATCGACATTGGATGCGAGCTTCAATTGAAGGGCGACTGGCAAGTCGTACCCGGGGTTACCTTGGTTGGTACAGGTAATCCCGATGGTATGGGTGATCTGCTCGGGATCGACATGTGCTTCTCCAAGAGCCTTCTGACACGCTTCAACGGCGAGATCGACCCCGGCTTGACGGAAGAACTGGTCAATTACACTAATTGACGGTGCATCCGTCTGCGTCGCAAATCCTACCTCGTACGGTCAAATCGCTGATCTGGTCTCGATGCCCGTTGAGCGGTTGAGTTGGAGGAGCTGTTTGATCCTAGCAAAGACTTAGACGTTTTCTGTGGAGCAGTCTAAGTTGACCAGCTTACCCCGGACTGCTCACATCGTGAAAGCGCGCTATCAATTTCTCAAGGTCCTCGGGGCCCAGCAGATAGGGAGGATATTGCGATCCCAATCCCGTGATGTACAAGGCCGGAGCCACTGCGTTGGACTACATGTTGACCTTAGGAGAGAAATTTGCTTCCAAAAAGCGGGGAGGGGGGAGGGGGGGGGGAATGGATGATGGAGATTTAACGCTGTGGCTGTTTCCTTGGCTTTTCGCCATTGACGTAGCGGCCACTGGCCTCGCAAAATCTCCAACGCACTTTGCGCGGACCATGTTAGTGCTATGTTTAGCTTTCTTTAAAGAAAGGGCTCTGCAACGAAGAGGTCGAAGAGTAGGGGAGTTGATGATGTTGGATCATCCCATAGATGACAATTTGCTTGCAGACTGAGTTGGATGCCTGCATTTTAGACTAGCAGACAATCACGCTGTCTGCATTATAAATGGTAGACTTAACAAGTAGATCATTCACGTTCAGCCTGAGAAGCCTGAGAGAAAAAAAAAAGAAGCGGCTACTCCTGCTTTGCGACGATCCATACTTATAGATCTGGGCATTTTCGAAACTAAAGCTGTCCCGACCGCATAAATTAGCATCTTCACCTGTTTCTGACTATTCAACCGTGTTTGTATGGTCGGAAAATCTTTGTCGGAAGGGCTTTGAATCCGAGGAATAAGTCCACAGGTTAGGGCTTCTTATCTGATGGGAAACTGCTTTGATGATCCGGGCAACTTGTGCCGGTGACGGTCCATCGGCAAAAGCGGTCTACTTTCAAGCCCAATTCAGGCCAAATTCAGGCACTCACTGTCCACCCTCGCACCTATTTTAGGGTTAGCCGGTCCTGACACGGCTTGGCGCGCTAGCCCCGAAATGGCCGAGACTCTACGCTTTCTCCGAACTGCTGCCCTCCACCGTGCAGTTCCCCTGGTAACGGTTGTTTCTCTGCGTTGAATATCAAGCGGATCACCCGATAACACGGGTAATCCACTCGTGTCCAGCATTTACCGTACAACATACAACATACGTTGGGTTCAGTTGAACAATACCAAATTGCACGTCATCTATCAAGTTGGATGCTCCCTGATTGAAGAGGATGCGACACTCTTCAAAAGGGGCGAACGTTACAGTATCAATAGGATTTCACCAGAAGTATCACTCCCATCAGCATGATTGCACGTTCAGTTCCACACAGATACCTATGAAGCTCCCCACTATATGGCATCGAACAAGAATAGCTCATCGAGGCTGCGAACCGAGAAGCGGTAACACGTCATGGAGGATTTCTCTAATCAAGAGAGGAAGATCTCGCCTAAGGAATGAGCAGAAGAAGTACAATTGTCAATTTCCAACTGCAATAGCGCATGCCGTATCTACGAGATACACAGTAAAAGGAATCTCGCGCTCTGCTTCGACCTGATCAATAGGAAGCCCTTAGTACGGGCATCGTGTAACAACAGTCAGCAAGTGATGGAATTTTCAAGTCTTGGGGTCAGGGCTCCACTTGGCTTCTGGCAGTACTTACCGGCAGTTAGGGACGGGATTAAGCAGCGTAGCCAGGGACTCTGTTCTCAACAGAGAGGCAGCTTGCCTCTGTAGCTATCTCACCATTGCTCACGGAGTCTTCAAATTCTGATTCACGTCCTTCTATAGCAACTGCACCAATCCGATCTCACTCTCCCCCACCATGAAATTGTAGCTCTTAACCCCACTCGACTCCGGCCGGCCCGGACCATGTTTTGGAAAACCATGGGTGGCTTACGAGCCCTATCTCACAGCCTCTTAGCCCATCATTGGTCTGGCCTCGAATATTATGCATTGTAAGAGATCCTTCGAAAGGAAGTCAATTTTTATTCTTTCTATTTAGGTGGGGTGTGAATTACTGAAATGGGAAATGTGGTGGTACACAGCCTGAATCCGCCAGTGAGTGCTTCCAACACTCCCCATCAGTAGCATCGACTCGGGGATTTTGCTCTCATGGTGATATCTCTCCATCTTCTCTTTCTGGCCCCTACGTTGGATGCGCCTCAACCGAAAAAACGGTAGGTGTCATGGCATAGTACTAGGAGGGGTAGAGCGAGAGGAGGCTGGGCGCCTTAAGATGGATGTAGGTGAGACCGATCACCATCGAAGGAGACCCCGCGAGGATGATGAATAGCCGACCCTAAAAGGGTCTGAGTGGCATTTGACCACTCCTTCAGTTCGACAGATAACTAAATGGGTTAAGTCGCGAAGTGTCTCTCCACTTTCCGTGACAGATAAAGAGAGAATCCCTGCCCAGATGACATTGCGGCAATAGCAGCCGAGGACTTCTCGAGTCTCAAAAATCCACCTTGATGACGTTCGGAGCGTCGTTGGAGAAGTTTCTTTCGATTTGCGTGACCCGCGTAGATATTTAAAAATTGCCGATGGGCATGGAGATTCCCCCTCGTCGACATCGCAGGCCGGCCGTTGCGTGCACCGAGTGCAGAAGACGAAAAATCCGATGTGACCGCGCAGTTCCTTGTGGGCCATGCTCCAAGTCAGTCCTTGCGTGTGTATACAACCATCTGCAGCCTGAATCTCGCGCAAACCATGATCCTGAGCCTTCATCGAGCCTGGCTGGCATCTTCCATTCATCACCCCAGACGATGT